ACTGAAAAGCTGAAACTGGATTTCTTACCTGAAGTACTGCACTGAATGAAAACACAAGTCATGCAGATTTGACCTCATGATTTGGAAGTAGTGCACTGAATGAAAGCAAATGCCATGCAGATTCGACTTCTTGATTTTGAAGTGCATGATTTGTATTTTCAGATAAAGAGTCCAAGCAAATTTTCCACAAGAATTGATGAATGTCTCCCAACTTTTGAAGCACGGTACATGGCTAGTTTGCTTTAAAAAAAAAAACGTAATCCTTCTGATTTCATGGATCAGAAGGTGATCTCATTAAATATAATTTGAGGGTTTATAATCTTCCTTTTTATTTCATTAAGTGGGCGTGTGAAATTTAGTGTAGTGGTTTAGATGAACGGACTTGTGCTTAATTGACAAATTTTTAATGTGTGGCAACTCAAAATCTGTTGTTTACTTTCATCTGCTGTATAAGTTCTGTGGATATTTAAATTTGTATACTTGTTTGTTTTGGTTGTTCGTGTATGGGCTCTTAGGAAAATAATTTTAGGAAATTTAATATTAGGAGAATAATATTCAGGGAATATGCATTGTTCATTTATAAATTATGATTATTCTCCTATTTATTTGTTTCTTATTGTATTGTGTGTGCCCATGTATTGGTTCCTTTTCTGTTAATAGCACGACAAGTTTTTTATTTCTCTCTGTTTGTTTCTCATATTCCTTCTCCCTCTTGTACTTCTCCAACCTTTTCCTCTTCAAGGATTCAAACATTGGTTATTGCAAAGGCCTCTCCCATGGACAAAGGAGACAGGATTTTAGAAGATCCATTTGACTGTAATGTATTGGCCTTCCTATCATCCTTGCTTTCAACAGCTTTAACATTCCATTCATCTTGCTCTTTGCGTGTGCTCCCATGTACATGACCCATTGTCCAACTTGCTCCATATTCACATTCACTCTCCATTTGACACGTCTATTGACCTATTGTTTTTTTTTTTAAAAAGTGCCTGCCTATACCCAAGCCTCATGCCGATTCCATCTCGCTCTAGCTATTTTACCTGAACATTTATGCTTTCTCCATCTTTATCATTCCCTCTCCCAAATTTGCTCCTGCTAAGTCCGCACTCCCTTATCTAATCCCCAAAACTTGTTATGATTAGGAAACTTGGAAGCTACGTGGGAGCTTGCAGGCAAAGATGTCAATAGAAAGGAGAAGTTTGTGAGATGTGGGGGATTCAAGATAAATCACTCCTTTCCCCTTCTTACTATTATGACATCTCATTTGTCCCTCTCTCTCCCTCCCTTGCTTTCTTGTCCACCATCACTACCTCTTGCTCTTCTTTCTGTCTCTTTCACTTTCATTTGTCACTATTTATTACACATTCTCTTACTCTTAATCTCTCTCAATCTCACTTGCTCTCGTAATCCACCTCTCTTTAACTCTCTCTCTCTCTCTCTATCTCTCTTTGTGAGCGCACGCATCTCCCTTTCCCCAACTAAAAAAAAAATTAAATTAAAAATAAGAAAAAGAAAAAAAGAAGTGTAATTCAATTTTGTAGTCTTACCGCCTAGAAAGCTCACTTAAGGTATAATGCAAAGCAAGCTGCTCTCCACAAAATCTAAGTTTTCAAGCTCGTTGTTCGGACATGGAAGGGACATCTATATTTCTTACATGATTTTCTCGTTTAGGTGATCTGCACTCTTTTTTGGTATGGTCGGGAGAAGGCTAATATGCAACTTAGCGTAATGGTAGAAGTTTTGAGCCCTCAAAAAAGTTAACGCCTATATACATTTTTTAATGTAATTAGGAAATCCTGTTTGTGAAAATTTTTTAGGGTATAAAGACTCATATATGCATTTCATATCATGGTAGGTGGAAAATTTGACTGTGGTGCCTCATGAATCACCTATACGTATTTTTCTTAGCGTAGTAGTTAGGCTTAGACTCCCAAATGATGGCCCTCACAAGGGCGAGATATCGGGAGGTGTGCTAAAGTTTCTCATGACAAAACTTGAAAAAATGACAGAATAAAAATAATTTTTTAGACATAATAATATGATTGAATTGAAAAGAAGAAATTTGTAAACAACATTTATTAAACTCTCAACAAGACAAATTATGTTGCAGGATTTAAGAAGAACTAGAACATGGTACAAAAATCAAAACTGGAAATAAATTTTGTGGACTCTGTTGCACTTGAATTCTTAGGGGCTGTCTGTTATAAATTTACAGGCGGATTTATGCAGGATTTAAGGCGGATTTATGTGGGATTTAAGTGGAGTCCTACCAGACAGTCATTTTGGACAAAATAAATCTTTGAATGCTGTTAAATATGGATTCTACAGATTTTGGCTGTAAATCCTGAATTTACTAAATCCCACGAACCGGTGGATTTAACTTCGGGGTATGGGATTGAAAATGGTGACAGGATTTTCAGGTTTTAGTAAATATGTTGTCAGACAGTTTTTCGGATTTAACCCATTTAGGATTTAGTAAGTCCGTATTTACGGGATTTACTAAATCTTAGTAACTGAAATTTCTTATGTTGCCAGACAACACCTTATAATTTATGGTGAATTAAATTAATTGTATAAATCTGCTCTAATAGCACTAATATCACTTTTTTTAATAAGTAGAAAGGTACCATATGTGGTTCACTCGAATAAAATAAGGGTTAAATATAAGTCAACAATGGTGCTTCAACACTTAAAAAAAAATTCCTAGCCAATGCAACTAATCTTCATACCAACACATGCAAGTGAACAAAAATGTAAGCACTTGTACATTAAAAAAAACGCGTGTTTTAATGATACTAAACTTGTGAATGACTGTCATTACACATTTTAAATAGTTGTTCATGTGAATGATTTTAAAACAAAAAATCTAACCTATTGTCATATGTTGTACTTATACTCTAAGTGACGTGCACATGAATCGTTGAAAGAAAGCAGTGCATTTCTTGAATGATAACACACTCATGTGAATACAATTTTCTTATATGACAAACAATTCACTGTTTTGCAACGGGGGTTGTATGCTACTTTCAAAAAGGCATGCATGATCTATCAAATTATTAAAAATAATTTTGTTCGCTCTTTTTTTGTGACAAATGTGTTAATACTTGTATTGAAAGTTCGAGAATGTTGCACGAATTAAGAAACATCAGATAAACTTGAATTTATTATGCTCTAAAATTCCCGTGCAACTTGAAAAAGATATGCTTATTTTCAATTCTTTCAAACTCAGTTGACATATATGCACACATCTGAGCAGACCATCATCTTTATATTGTTTTGATTATATGTTTCATGTTTGATTTTTCTCCTTGTAGTGATTGAAATTGATGAGACTGATGCTTGTTGGCAATGTTCAATAATAAATTTAATCCAAATTTGAAATTGAAATTAATTTCAATCAGCCTTCCAAGGCCCTTTACTGAAAAAATTAATTTACAAAATGCAAACACTTGATATTTTATCTATAAGACTTGCAGACAAGTTCTAACCGCTTAGATCTGATACGCTACATATTGGGCAGAGTGAAATGGTTTGTAATGCAATGAATATTTAAGGGAGCTTAAGTGATGCAAATCCATGAACTCCATGTTCTGCCAGCAAACAGGTAGAATTCACAAGGTTTGCCGTAACAAAATTTAAGCGAATACTCCTATGACGGGCAAGGCAATTGCATATCACAACCATAGTGATTCAACCCTTAAAATTAAGCTATCAATTTTAAATATCAATGCTTCAAACATTAATATACCTTAACGATGCTTGCAATAATAGAAAATCTTAACTAAAGAAGATAATATAGTTAAAATGACTTATATTCTAGTGCAAATCATTGCAAACCTCAATCCCAATAAAAATATGAAAAATTCAATAAATTTGTGGAATCTAAAATTTTTAATTGAAAGCTATCATCTTATGATTAAAGCAATAATCCATCTATTCTCCACACGAAGGTCATTTGTTCTCGTTGTTCATTGTAAAATTGCACTATTAAACTATGATCACATCGAAGTCTATAGGAAAGAAGACTCCACACAGAATTTGAAAAGAGAAATCACACATAACATAATCCTAATTTTAGCAAACATACATATAAATAGAGGGAAATAGGTGGGAAACTAAAAAGGAAAGGGGGAAAGCAATGGGCGGCAATTCCAGGCCCCTAAGGAGACCGGCCGGTCCAGCAGAAGGTTGGACCGGAATAGGAGCTGTCCGGTTCAGCCAGCGCCTCCTTCCAGCCGGTTAAGCCAGCCACCCCTAATCTGCCCCGCTTCAGAAAATGTGCTATCTCCATTGAGTTGAAATTGCATTAGGAGAATCTCTCTATTTGAAAGGCTGACATGTATGCTAGGTCAAGCCATGAAGAGAATTTTCATCGGGTAGAAATTTTGTTTGTGAACATCACTATTATGTCTGTCCAGTTTACATGGGGGAGGGATGATTCTAAAACTTGTTCATCTTGGGAAAAATTATTTCGAAGGAAGATAAAGGTGCAATGTCGAATTATGTTTTTAACAATTATTGCCCAAGCAGCTAGTTGCTCAGGAAGCCTTGGACCAGAAGCTAGTATGCTTACCTTGAACATATTCGGAAATCTAAAATGAGCTCAACAATGCCACACACAATCCCCCACTTAAAAAAACATTTTGGCTAGAGTACACAGTTTTGAAAGTTGTCAAAGAGAATGGCTGAATGAGAAGAAAGTATGAAGGTTTGTTATAACTAAAGCTAAATAGGTTGCCATTACATAGCAGCATGATTGCCATTTTTCTATTGCAGCTTGGAGGTTATACTGCATGCAGTAACAGAGTAAAAGGGAAGGATGTGCTGAAAATTATTTCCAATATTTTTCTTGTTCATCTACTTCTTCCTATCCTCTTTCTTGAAGTTGCAAGCAGAGTCAAATTGCTTGAAAACTGTTTTTTTCTCTGTTTTATCAGTGAAATACTATCATTTTAATGCATATTCTTCTCATTTTTTTCATGTCAATCTTCAATGAACAGACGTTCATGCGCCAGAAGGCTACTCTATCATCTTCTTCTTCTGTTTCCCATTTGATAAAAGGAATGAGAAGTCAAAACTCAGTGCTCTCCAACAAAACTGAAGGTACAATATGAAATTGCTAGCCGCATGATACTAATAAATTTCACTTTAGGTGCTTTGAACACACATCTACTGATTTTGCAGGCTGTGTGCATGTTACTACTGATCATCATTCTGAAAAAGCTAGTAGATCTCCAACTATACCAGACCTTAATTCCCTGTTCTTTTCACCTTCGGAAAGCCCTGAACAGCCTAATGGTTTTATAGCTAATATGAACACCAATTATTTTATGAACGGAGAGGGGGATATAACTTATCAGAAATCTATTCATAGCTCTACAAAACTAAATGATAATTGCCCTACTTCTGGTGCTCTGCGTTATGCCCTACATGTTCGTTTTCTATGCCCCTTTTCAAGGAAATGTTGCAAAGCAGTGCAAAGATGTCAATCGGATCCCTTTTCGGTGCCAAAGAGAAATAATGGAGCTGTTGAGGGAGAGCGTCACTTCTATTTGTATAATGATATTAGAGTAGTGTTTCCTCAACGCCATTCTGATGCAGATGAGGGCAAGGTATGAGTTTTTTTTTTTTTTTTTTTTGTGCTGGAACTAATCGAAATTCTAGTATCTTGTGACATGGTCAATCATCTATTAATCATTGAAGGCCTTAAAGAAATATTCCTGATTTTGTTATTGGAAAGTTTTACATTCATACTTTTAGGGGGTGTAAATGAGTCTAGCCGAGCTCAAGCCATCCATAACTCGAGCTCGTCTTGTCTATCAAAATGTGAGCTCGAGCACAGCTTGTAGTGGTAGCAGCCAGCTCGCAAGCTTGAACTAAAAATTCAATTTTTTATGAGAGCTCACTCAAGAAGTTATTGGTGGCCGAAGGAGGAGGAGGATGCAACGGCAACTCACCTGAAAATGCATCGCAATAACTAGCATTAGGTTAATTGAGCCTTTTCGTGAGCTAACAAGCCGAGCTGGGACGAGCTCAAGTTTGAGCTTCAGCTCGGGCTCATTGCTCAATAAACTTGGCTCAAGCTCATTAACGTTAACGAGCTGGCTAAACTCATTTACATGCCAAAATACTGCTCGATTCCCATGTATTTACATATCTTACACATAAAATTCATTTTTTACATGCTTGCCACCTCGCATATGCATAAAAAGGTGTATTTCACATTTTAAAGTTAAAATAGCGGTATTTTTAATGCAATGTGAAAATTTTGGGTAGTATAAAACTATAAATGTAAAATATAAAATTTTGGTGTTAAATATATAAATATGTAGGAATTGGGTGGTATTCATATGAATACCCCTTTATTATTTTGAAGCCGTAATATTGTGCTAGCACCATGTCTGGCTTTTGAGTTTAATGAAAAAGGTTGTGATGAATGTGTCATTTTTTATGTTACTTTCCATTACTGTTAATTTTAGGTTCTCTTCGTTAACCAAGATGAGATAGATCAACTTTTTAGCATATGCTTTTATTCTAGTTCTATATATCAAATCGTTAGCATATATTTCTTATGTCCATTCCACCAAATCAAACCCTAGATTTAGTCAGAATTATGAATCATGCAGGATGATCATAACATCTCATGTATGTAGAACCTCTCCAATTACCATACTAATTGTACAAGTTAAGTGTTATATACTTGGAATAGTTAAAATTGACCAAATTCAAAGGTGTTAATAAAATTAGGTGAAATCAAATCCCATACGTCTGAAATAGAATGCTGGAGAATATTTTCCCCTTCTCCATATTTTTTCACTTGTTCTTTTTTTCACCACTATTCTTTGAAGCGGTTGAATGTTTAAGCGAACTAAGAAGCTTTTTGTCTTTTTCTCTTATCAAATTTTCTTTAATTTTTCTCTCTTCTCTAGTTTTTAATTACTAATAACGGGAAGATAGATGAACCATTTTGTAATTTGGCATTGTGTTACTATTTACGTCTACGGGATTAACTATTGATCAATTAGGCTGGCTGCCTAGGTTAATGGCTTTCATTGCACAAACGCGAGGGGGCACTGTTGCAGAATTTGGGAATTCTGTTACCCGACCCTTCACTTCGTCTTCTTCGCCCCTTCGTTTTCTCTCTCCCTCCCCCCTTGTGCTTTATATTTAACCTTCCATAATATTTCATATCAAACAAATCTGATACAAAGAATTCATTTATTTTCATGTTGACTTTTATGGAAATTTTACATGCATACTACACAATTCTTATGAATTTACATATCAACACGAAAAGTTTGATATTTATATTTATCACATTTCGGTATCATAAACATATGTATGAAAAGGTACATACCACTTATTAAAAAGTTAGTAATAGTGGCACGCAAGATTAAAGAGGATCATCTTAGATGGTTTTGTCACATTACATGACCATTTGATAATTCTATTAAGAAAATAGATGTTATAGATAGACCTCAAAAATCTGGGCATATTGTATTAAGAACGATATTAATCTATTAGATTTAAATGAAAATATGAAACTCAATAGGATGCAATGGAAAAAAAAAAAAAAAATTCATGCAGTCGGGATAAAGGCTTGTTGTTGTTGTATCAAAGGTTTGAATTTATGCATGTGAATATGAAACTGTGTTAATATGTAAATAGACAAAATTTGTGCGGTATGCATGTAAATGCCCCTATATTTTATTCTCAGCAATGTATTTTTTTTTTTTCTGGCAGCTTCGGGTGGAGCACCATTTTCCAGCAGATCCGAAGTACTTTGATGTAAGCAACTGAACAGAAGATGTCATGCCATGGCTTCCAATTGTACATAGCTTCTCATTTCCTCAAATGAAATCTGTAAAGAAACTCCTCCCATTTCCTGTAAATAAAATGCCTTTAACTATTCTATTGCTCTATTTCTGATTCATCTTTCTTTTCTCAATGAACAAAACTTACGTGAGGATATAATAAAATGTACTATGATGAACTTCATTGCCGTTGAATTTGCGGTAAGATTAGTGCTAGTCAGGATATCTTATATAGCATTAATCTTAGTGCAAATCCAATAGTTTTGCAGCCCATCATGATGAGTTTACATCAGGATATCCTGATAATTTTTTTATTTCTCAATCATCTGGTGTTCTAGGGAAATAAGCTTGATCTTAGTAGTTTTAGAGCTTTGTATTAAGTTTTTAATGACCATGGGACTTGCCACCATCATGTGGTAAATGGTGCAATCAAGTTAGTAATAAAGCGCTTACTTGAATGTTGACTATTTAATTTATTGTTGAAGGTTATTTAAATTTGTTTACTCAATTTTTGAAGTTAATTGTGATGTGTTTCGAGGCGCAGGGACATTTATGGTGAAATTCATTAGCAAAATGTCAATCATTAGTAATCTGATAATGCTAAGGGGGGATGGTAAAGGATATGAAGCGATAGGCTCAGTAATATAAGATTAATGACTAGGAAGAAGTGATGTGTGTGGTTTTCATGAACTAAATGAGCTCCAAAAGATTTTCACTTCTTGTACATTATCATTGATAATAGTGGACTTAGTGCGCTATCATATATTGAACTTATACTTTTTTTTTTCATCTATTGCCAAATCATGTTGCGCCTTTTAGAGGGCCAAATTTTCAGAAGATATATTGGATTATAGATAAGATGTCTTCTAGATGTTTTTTTTTCTATTCAGCAAGGATTTTTTGATTTGGGGTTTGAGATTTTTTATAGGCGCAAGCTGGTATGATTAATTATCCCTCCTGATAACGGGAGAACACTTTTGATTGAGGCTGGTCTTTAAAAATTAAATATTCAATATACAATGGCAACAAAGATATGATATTTTAAATTGTAAAATATATCACCTGAAGCTTAAAGTTGGTGGGGAAAATAAAGACAAAACCTAATCAAAGATCTCATGGTTTTGTTGTCTTTGGTCGTCGTGGTCCTTGATCTACCTAGTAAAAGGATGTAGTCGACCTAACTTGACTAACGGATTTTTGTCAGCAATTATGGGTTGTGTCATGCAAGGGTTCCTCCTAGATCTAGGGTGATTGTTTGTCTAAGGGGACATTAAAGTTGGTTTTAGCTAACAGAAAGTTATGTCAATTAATTACATTGTTATGGTTCACATCTCAATGATATAATATACGTGTTGCAATTGTGACCGTACTATAATAATGTTATTTTGTGGCAATCATTCAATTACATTGTTATGGTTCACATCTCAATGATATAAAATCGTTGAGAAATATACGTGTTGCAATTGTGACCGTAATATAATAATGTTATTTTGTGGCAATCATTCGGTTAGAGGATGTTAGATGTAGCCGCTACTTTGAGGTTCTATTTGGTGGCAGAACCACGTAGATAGAAGGCTTAAATCATGTCCTTACTGACATGCAATTACTTTAATTATGAACATAAATATATAATTAATATGATGTTCACTCTTTATGAGTTGAAGTCAATTGAAAATTTATCACTCGACAAATTGTTGTGGAGGGTAGATGGAATTTGTTTTTTAAATATTTTGTGAATAATTTTATCTCGAAAGATTTTATTTATTTGCATTAAGTTTTTTAGGTGTTTAATTTTAATTTGAATGTCCAAATTAGTTGTTTTGATTATTTGATTTGAAAATTGATATATAAGTTGACCCCTGCCCCCAGATTGAGATTTTTAGTCAACACGGTCATCATCGGGGAATTTTTTACCTTTGAACCCCGTTGATTCTATCTTTCTTACAGAAGATTGGTTCAATAATTGAAATAATGGAATTCAAAATAGACTTTAAGATATAATTGTAAGATAGAACCCTCCGATTAAAATCTTTTATCAACCAGGTTATCATAAGAGATTTAAGCATTTAAAACATTTATATTTTGAAGTGGTATTTAATTTTGTTAATTTAGACTTTTTAGGGTACATGTTATGTCGACTCCTGTTCTTAAAAAGATGATCGGACTAGGTGATTTGAACATGTAAATTTTTATTTTAAGATTTGGGCATTTATTTCAAAATTATTAGACTTGTTAACTCCAGTCCTTAAGTTTAGGAGGATCAGATTAGTTTGGTGGGGCTTACAACGTTATCTTATAGACAATACGACTTGATTAGCCCATGCAACATTCTCTAACCTAGTATTTCAGCATTTAATTCATTGTTTGGAGCACATGCATGCATTTATATTTCATATTTTTAAATAACTTAAAAGAATTTAGAGACTTTGAAGGCTTGCGCAACTGTTAAACTATAATTAAGATTTGTAATTTAGGTCAAGAGATTTTGAAATCATGTATAGGATTCCTATCTATATGAATCTTCTAATGCATACATAATTCAAGAGAGTAAAAATTAAGCTCAAAATATTTTGATATATTCCAGATCATTGCATTTGACTTGGGAATAACCATCAAGCTTCTAATGTCTTTAAAAACTGCAACCATTTGAAACTATAAGCATTTATTTGGATATTATCTGATTGGAGTGCATGCAATGTTACATCTTCGGGCATTAAGAGAGCCTATCTTATGTTCGTTGGCAAGTGTATTGCAAATCCAATGACAGGATTTTATAGTTTCATAAAGTCTCATATTTAAAATATTTTTCATCTCTAGAAGCATAAATCCTAAAACTCAATTTAAAATTTATTTTCAAACCTTATGAACTTAAGTATGAGAAGCTCAATTTTAAATTTTTTTTAGGTTTATGAGCTTAAATTTTAAAATCCAAATTTTAATATTTTTAAGCCCTAAGACTCAAATTTTAAAGAAGGGCAATTTTAAAAGCCCTTCTTTAAAATTTTTAAAACCTTAAAAGCCTAAATATTAAAAGCTTAGATCATTGATATTTTAAAACCGATAATTTATTCTTTAATTTGTGTTATATGCAATTTTGTATTTCCCTTTAAACTCCACTTAAAAGCTACATATACTATACTATATTGATATTTGTTTATACTTTCATTAACAGGCAAATAAACATGAAGGCATATAATTTCAGTTTTCCCAACAAAAAAAAAAAAAATCAGAGGTTCCACCACACCTCTAAAACATCTACTCTCCTAATTTTGTCAGTCACAGGAGCTATACCAACCCTATCACAGATATATTCATTTCGCATTTTGTCTCTACATTTTGTCTCTCTCATCCACTTAATCATTCTCATCTCGGCAACACTTAACTTAGTATTATGCTTCTCTTTTAAAGGCCAAC